GATCGCTTCCAGTTGCTCGAAATCCAGTTGCTTCCAGTCGAGTCGGCTCGCAAGCCCGACATAAGCCCGCCTTTTCGTACGAACGCAGCAAAACTGTGACGGTATTCATAGCGCCAAGCTTGTGCAGCGTCTGCGTCATGTACACATCTCATGACAACGTGGCACGCGCCATGTGCTGTTCTTGAGGCAAGCAACGGCAAGCAGTTAAACGTACACGTTTGGTATTGCGACGCGAGGCTGTAATAGCGAAATCAGAGAAAAAGAGAGAGAGAGAGAGCGAGAGAAAGTAGAAGGAGTGAGGGCTTATTGTGTACATAGCGGGTTCAATATAGCCAGCAGCAACCGCTGTGTTGTGTCAACACGGTGGGCATTAGAATGCGACGGTGTGTTAACGCGCGCGAGTTTCCGGATGGACACCGGTAGCTCTTATTGAGGGAGGATGTGGGGAAAGATTGAGAAAACATTGTTTCGCTGCAAAAACACGACGCGATTGCTTGCGTTTTTCGTGCGATCGGGAACTGTATGATATTAAAGGGGGAAAGGCTCTGAGACTACTTCAGACTACTCTGAGATGGAAATAAAATGCGTTCTAATGACATGGATTGATGTGACTGATGATGCTGATCTATAGATGGCCACCGTGCGTCGTTGGGAATGAGCCTGTAGCAGTCGTAGAGACTGATGGAATCAGTCTAGCAGTTGTATCAGGTGTAAACATAATAGGGTGTCAGCATCTCACGCATCTCTGATCGCATCTTGACAGCTTCTCTGCATCCTCTTGTTCTCTCAGTCTCCCTGTCCTCACACCCTCATCCTCCAAGCAGGCTCTGCATCAGATATCTCCCTCTGTTTCTCTCTTCCTTTCTCTCCATCTCTCTCTCTCTCCTTTCCCGTTCTCTTTCTTTTGCTCTCCCTCTGCCCTCCTCCGTATGTTTCACCTGCTGACACTGGCCTTGTACTGTCGAGAGCGAGGAGGGGGAGCAGGAGAGAGAAAAGGGGGAGAGAGCTCGACAGAGTCAGAGAGAGGGAATATCCTGCTTCCAGTGTGTGAACATTGTATAAACACCCCTCCCCCATGTGTCGCGTGCATATATAGAGACTGCTGCTGCTGCGAGGCGTGCTAGCCCTAAAGCAAGCGAAGGAGTGAGCAAACAAACGTGCAATGATTTCTGTCGATCATTTCTGTCGGTATATGTGTGTGTGTGTGTGTGTGTGTGTGTGTGTGTGTGTGTATACATGATTGCTTTATTCACACCGGATGATGTCGTTGAATAATTTACCAACGTCCCCGTATGCAAGCATATCTAGTTATTATGACGATTGTCAATACTACTACTACTACGATTAATAATAATAATTTTCGTTATTATTGTTATTATTCGTGTTGTAATTGTACTACTATTATTAATTATTATTATTATCATCATCATCATCATCATCATCAACAACAACAACAACAACAACATCATCATCATCATCATTGTTATTCGCAAAACGAAATGTGTATACTTATCTCTTGAATTTCTCAGCAGCAACCTCCTCTATCGGTGGGACAGAAATCCGGGGGTGGTCAGGGAGGAGGAGGAGGAGGAGGGCCGACCAGCTATAGGAGAGGAGCCGGTGACAGCCAGCAGCAGCAGCAGCAGGCGGGAGGAGGAGGAGGGGAGAGGACGGGAGGCAGCAAGCAGGGCTCGTCAGGGCGTGGCCCAGAGAACAAACAGAAGACGGGCGTGAGGTGCGTGCGTGCGTGCGTGCGTGCGTGAGTGCGTGCGGAGTCCGTGCGTGAAGGGGCGTGCGTGCGTGCGTAGCGTGGCGCGCCGTCAGCTACTGACTCTGTTATATTCTGCAAACCACGTGACTAATGTCACTTCATCACTCATAGTTTGCTAATGCGCAATTAGGGTATAGGGCTTGTGGATTAGTGCTTTTGCGACAGTACTCTTTCAATAATACGTTCGCAATATCACTGCTGCAATGTTGTTTGTCGCGATGATACATTTTGATACATTTTCAGTGATGTTTTTTGCAACGATATGTTGTAAGTGTCACTTTTACAATGAGACTTCTGCAATTTTGTCATTGCATCATATGTCATGTAAGCGACTGACATATGAGTTTTAAATTAAAGCAACGAACTCAGAATTTATTCGCGTCACTAAACGCGTCACTTTTCAATTATTTTCTGACGAAACTCATCGTTGGCGTCTATTGACAGGTCGGGAGGTGGCGCCACCGGAAGCTTCAAAGTCCTCCCGAAGCCACGGAAGAAGGAGGAGGCACGCGCAGCCGGGGAGGCTCCCAGGAGAACCTCCTCTCTGACAAGGCCTCTCAGAAGACGAAGGAAGCCAAGCAGCGCGCTCTTCCTCCTCCGCCTCCACCGCTGCCGCGGAGAAGAAGCCTTCGCCGGCCGACAAGCAGAAAGTTTGGCTTCAAGCGGCCCACCAGCGCCACCTGCGGGGAAAGACGGCCGACGCCGCCGACGAAGGTGCCGGGCAGCAACGGGGTCGCAGCGCAAGCAACGACATAGACGACGCGTGCGGCTCGGAGATGACGCAGCGCACGAACCCGCGCGCCAACATGCTGTCCAGCTCCTACGGCGGTCAGGCGGGCGTCTACGCGGCGACGACGGCCGGGGTTCCCGGCGCGTACGGACAGTACAGCACGGCGATTCGTGGTGGCGGCGGTCAGTATGCCGACGGGGTACATGAGTGGCTCGAGCACCGCTCGACCGCAACTCACGGCAGCGGCCGCGAGTCCGCGCGGCGACGGCGCGATCGCAGCGCACCCTGGCGGCGTCGCGGACGTCGGGGCGTCTCTTCGGCAGCAGGCCGCTCGCTGAACCCAGCCGCTCGACACGCGTGATGCGCAACGCCGCGCACCACTACAGCCGCGGAGGCTCGCCGCGCACGGAGCGCCCCCGTACAGCCGCGAGAACTCGCCGCATCGCTCGTCCTCGCGCGCACCGTCTCTCGCTCGTGCGCACGCAGGAGGCGTACACGATGGGAACCTACATCCCCGGCGGCGCACCCCGACCCTCGCGCGGCAGTGCAGGGGGGCGCCGGCGGAGCGGGCAGCCCGCTCGCAGAGCCCCTACATGTTCGTGGCGGGCGTCGCCGTCGGTCGCCGTGCCGACGCGAGCTGCGATGACGGAGGCTGAGTCGATGGAGTCGATCTCGTCGGCGTCGGCCGTGACATCCACACGGGCGATCCAGCACCGCGCGCGAACAGCAGCCTGACGAGCGCGCGCCTGGCTCATGCACCAGAGGGAGCGCAGGCGGCGGCCGCCGCGGCAGGGGCGTCGCTGCTGCGCTCGGAGAGTGTCAAGTCACGCGCAGCGAGAGCGGCTTCCCGATAATCGCTGGCGCCCTCAGTGTCGACGACACGAAGAGTGAGAAGTGCTATCCGTCGATGATGCGCCGCACGGACTACGACTGGCAGAACCAGGTGAGCATTCGTACTTACGCAGTAAGCGTAGCGTACTATACTATACTATATTATAGTAATATATATCATATAATAGTATGGTATACGTATGGCGATGGTATGGTATGGTAATGGTATGGTATGGTATGGTATGGTATGGCAATGTCATAGTATAGTAAGTATAGTAAAGGATTCGGGTGACAGAAACAAAATTTGCCTTAGCATTGGTCTTAACATTACTATTGTTACACAACCCTTAGAATGGTTATCAAGGGACATTGAATGGTAAGCGGAGAGGCAGCGGGCCTACACGTTGGATCTATCTTGTCCTCCTAATTATTGAAAACAATTATATTACTCATTTGTTTTTATTCACGCCTGATGTTGTTCCTTGAATCACTCGCTAATACATACGTCGTGAAATATATTTAATACGTAAGGCAGTTAATCCTGTGATCGCCGCGCTTTGCAACTGTAGTCCGCAAAACATGGCGGCATGCACTCTTGTCGCTATGGTAACAATGCTAGAAAATTGCGTTTGCAGAAAGGGAATATTCTACTGTAGTTTAACCGCGGAGTCTTTCGCGAGAGCATTTGTGCTGACGAGCACTTACGGCGTAAGATGCTATGCGCGTGCGACTACGGAATCGTTACTGTGAGGTCTACTCTATACACATTTTGTTGAATCACGCACGCACGTACGCACCACCTATGTACACACCACACACACAGACGACACACACAACTTCGTAGCAAGTTTCTCAGGTCTTGTAGTGTAGTGAGTCTGCATTGCTTGGTGACAGATGCCAGCAAGTATATATATATCTTATATCAAGAGCTATCATACATGTATGTATGTATGTATGTATATATATGGCCGGCCGGTTTGTTAGCTCTACTAATCACTGCCGAGGAATTATTATGGGCGAAGACAGATTTCTGCGTCGGCGTGTGGTTGTGATGCATTAGCGAGTAGCAGCGGCAGGGGGAAAGCGCGTGGCGCAGTTAAGACGACTATTAGCCGAAGATAGTTACTGCTGATTCATTGTAGGCTGTAAACACGTCACGATTTGACCCCGACGCTGACACGTGACGAGGTTGCTGGACAACACTGACCTCTTATCTATAGTTAACGATATATAGTAGAAAGCTTTACTATAAGTACCGCAGTCCGCGCAGCTGACGTGAGAATGTGC